CAACATCATCTAAAAGCTCTACAGATTTATACAGAAAAAAAATTCTTAAAAGAAAAGTAAATGATCTCAAGCACCTGTATCACGAGACTTGGGTGAAGCTGCGGGAGGAAGAAGACTGGGAACTAAATGCACTCCCACCTATGCTATTAGCCACATCTGCGTTCATATTCTTGCAGGGTAATACGATACAGAAACAGCTCTTTATACATATACATATTTTTAAAAGAAGAAGAAGAAGTAAAAAAAGACGACCTCTAGCTTCACAAAAAAGATCAGCATTTTCTTTCCCTTTAATTTGGAGGGGCCTCCCATTTATGTTCTTTTTTACATTAGGATAGTTTACTCTGCAGAAATCTATCTACTACTGTCCTGAACCTTGAGAATTATCGTTGGGAGATGGTTGCTGTTGCTGTTGGTCTTGGTGCTGTTGTTGTTGCTGGTGCGCTCGAGCCTGCCCCATATGCTGATAAATCTGGCTCAAGGTTTGAGGGTTCAAAACCCCAACATGACCATCTTGTGATAGCCCCAGCTCCAATCCAGGAAGCTGCTGCTGCTGGTCAGTAGCAGCCCCCAGGATGGAGGTGAAACTCATAGGACCCATGTTGTTAGTTGCAGCTGGCAAGTCAAAACCAGGAAACCCAAGCTTGTGTAGGTAATTTGAACATTCAGTGCCCAAACTGGTGGCTGCTGGAGCAGGGGAGGATGATGACTGGAACCCGAAACCACTGACAGCTCCAGAAGCAGAAGTAGGGGGCCATATCCCTGCAGTTGTAGTGGGCATTCCCATATGGGGGCTCGTAACAAACTCCCACCGACCATTGGCCAATTGGTCCTACTAGCACTGGTGCTACCCGCTCCTTGACCTGACCCGGCAATATCCATGTGTGGGGGGTGGTGTGCACCCAATTCAGCACTGATCTTTGGAGGATGCAGCCCAGCTGACATGGAAACAGAGCCCCCTGCTCCAGCGGCCGCAGCGGCTAGAGCGGAGGCCGGTATGGTCCCCGTCCCCGTGGCGGCTATAATGGATGGTTCAGCCTGCTGTAACAGCCATTGGATTGTTTCTCCATCGGATTTGTGACCCAATTCTCTGGTGAGCTGGAAAATTCTGGCGGCGCATAAGGCTGGCATCCTTATCCTCCTCCCTCTGCCTTCCACTTTGGTGTGTCTGTCTTTGTTGGAGCTTCTTTTTGGGGCCAACTGGTGTGGCTTCTTAGCACTAGTAGTAGTATTTTCTTGCTTGTCTGCAATACAAATCCGGAAGTCTTTGATCTCAGCAGGAGGAGGAGTAGGGCTGTTGTTATGATTAGTTTCACTCATGATGCTGCTGTTGTTGTGGTTTGCGTTCAAGAAGCTTGGCAGTCCCACCGCATCTTGCGGCGGCTGCGGCTTTGAACCCTTGGGATCCATGAAAGAGGGTTGTCCGACTCCAATTTACTTCTACTATACGGAGTACTAATTAATTCCTAATCACCAACTAGTAAACAAGTAATTTTCTTATTTATTACCAAAAAAAAACAAAAAAGAAAAGTTACTTAATAGTTAATACAACCAACTGGTATTTACTAGCATTATCTATTACGAGCACTGGTAATATTTTATACTACTACTTTTAATAAATAAATAAAACATTTTGGGTAATGGAGGGGAGGTGTTCAAACGCGGCAATTGGCAAAGCAATGTGAAAGAACAAAAGAGGAGGTGACTAAATGTTGGAGATCACAAAGTTGCCGGTACTCTTAGACCTTTGGTGCAATCGTGCAGCCTAATTGATGTGTGAGTTTTTTTTTTTTGGTCTTTCACTCCGTACACCACTAATTGGGTTTAATTAACAAACATCAATATTCCCACTTAGCCAGTAAAGTGGGAAAGGGGAAAAAAAACACACAATACTCCGACCCGACACCACAATGGAAGCCGCTTCCCCGTCTTAAATAACTTACTCTTGGGAGCAAACGGGTCTAGTTCAATTGAGTACCTCGTAAGCAAGCTCGATTAATATTCCAGCATGAAAATGTGTTGATCGAGTTTGAACAATTCAAGCTGTTTGATAGGTGTGAACTTGAGCCTACTATGTGAAATTCGAAAGTTTGTCAAATTTAACTAATCTCAATCGAGTTTCACACACACACACATATATATTTAATTTTTTATTTATTAATTTAAAATATATATTATTTCCTTTGTTTAAAATTATATAAAATATAAATTTATATTTTTAAACTCGATTTGGCTTGATTAAACTCGAAATAAATTCGATTGGATTTGATGGGTACAAACTCGATGAGTTTGAACTCAAGTTCGAATCCAATTTTCTTAATTTTGATTCGATTCGATTATACCCCTAGTTCGAATTCGACTTAATTCGATTGCATTTCTGCTTAATGCTATTAACTACTCCCTTCCTTTTTTTATAACTGACGTTTAAGAAATTGGCTCTAGTGTACTTTTATCTGTCGTTTTATTATCCCCATACAGTATTAATTATTTTTTCACAATTTTACCCTTTTATCTCTCTTTTCCAATACAGGTTCTTAATTACTACTCCTAGTAATTATTACATTGCTTTTGGCCTAGTAAAACAGCACCATTTAATACTCTAGTGAGAGAAAACATGGGTGAATTGGACAATTAATGAGGATACAAAAAGAAAGTAGTTTACAGATTTAAGCAATGAAAAACTTTTCTTAATTGGTGTGTAAAATTTTAAACGTCAGTTATAAAAAAAGGGAGAGAGTATTAAGTTAATTCTTTGTTGAGTTCGAATCCAAATTTTTTAACTCCATTCGATTAAATCTTAGTTTGAACTCGGCTTAACTTGATTGCATCTCCACTTACTGCTACTAAGTACCAAGGTACGGCTTTATTACTATGGTAAAGTAGGCTTGGTTTACGGGCCCACCGTATTTTGGCCATTTAATGTTGCTAAGTGCTATTTGTGTCTGCTGTTACCTTTGCCCGGCAAACTGCAAATCCCGTCTTCTATAGACGAGTTGTACTTCGGGTTCGGGGTCTTGGGCAACGATGGACCCCCAAAGCTTTCCAAAAATTGCATATGGAGTATTAGTTTTAAGGATTAATTACAAAAACCTTCCTTGAAGTTTATCATAATATCACATGACACTCTTAAAGTTTCAGAAATCTCACGTAATTCCTCAGGAATGATAACTTGTGTAAGCTTGTCCCCTTATGTGTAAAAGTAATATTAAGACAATGCATTGAATAAGAGAGATTACATTATTATCTTTCTACTTTTATCTTTGTGCAATTTGATTTATGTAATTTGAACTATGACAAAAGACAAATAAGGTGAAATATTAAACTTGAAACATAAGAATATGTAAGTGCAATAAGTAATAAATTTAGCTGTTTTGTAAATAGATAATACTGTTATGTGCAAGGGTAACTTCTAAACCTATTTCAATATTATAAAAAGGCAAAAGTTTCAAGAGATTGGTCACAATAAGGAGCAAATTAAGAGCAAAGATTTTGTAGAAAAGGAACACAAAAATTTTGCCACGAAGAGGGAAATTAGAATGAAAATTTTAGAAGATTAGTCGTAGCAAAAACGAACATTAAAACTAAAGATTTTTGAAACAAACACAAAGAAAAATATTTTAGACAGTGTTCTTGTTATTTGTTTATATATATGTTTTTTTTTAATCTTTTCGCAACCTTTTGCTACTTAAAAATGTAGGAAAACATTGGGAATAATTTCTTCTGACCTTCCTTAACTCATTTTTTTGAATCAATAGTTGGTCACTAAGAGAATTTTAAAAATATACTTGGGTGTAAGTCAATAAATCAAATCCCTTCACATACATTCTAATATTCAAATTTTCCCGAAAAATGTTTCATCAGCGGGTGCGTAGGAATCCGTCTAAATCAGTGACGATTCAACGAATTTTCTTTAATCTCTTTAGGTCCCTCATCTCTCTATTGTAGAATAAGAATAATTGTAGTATAAAATTTATCGCGTCGAAAAAAAAAAAATCACTTTTCTGAACTTTTTTCAAAAAAAGATGAAAAGAGACAACAGTAGAAACGTGCAAACGGCTGATTGAAATTTCTCCTACCACACAACACAGATGCTCTATTTCCAGTGGGAAGGTGGGGGGCAACCCGCGACCAAACCTCCTTTTGCTGTTTTCTTTTACGCATAAGCATTAAAGATCAAGTGATGACACCTGGTTTCATTCTGCTTATCCGCTCTGTATGACGAAATTGGTTTTACTAAATCCAGTACAATCCACTGAATAGCGCACTAAAATCCAATACAATCCGCTGAACTACAATCCACTGAATAGCGCACATGGCAAATCCCTGGATTACCGGTAAAGCCAAAGACAATAATAATATGTCATATTCTTACCAAGAAAGAAAGAAAGGAAGGAAGAAAATAATAAAATGTCATATACTTAGGCTTTGTTTGGATTGCGGTTTTTCGTCGGAAAATTACGTCGTTTTCCGTGATCACATTTCTCTATTACCTTTTTCTCTCACATACATCAAATCGCTACAGTATTTTTTCTATAAAAAATCATAGAAAATGCAATCCAAACACAACCTTAATTTGCTTATACAGGTAAAGCAAATAGTACTGTGTGTAGGAGTAGTAGTAGTGGTTGGCGCCTTGTCATAGCATGTGCATCTCTCCTCTTATGGAATGATGATGGAGTAGTATCCTACGCAAACCATTAAAAAAAAAAAGTAGAGAAAAAAAATTTGAGTCGGGCGTCGGGAGGGAACCTGGCTGGAAACGTAAGTGATCATTCATTGATCAGAAACGTGAGAAAAATTGAAATTTGCATTCCCATATTCATATATGCAGTCGTAGGTTGTGCCGTAGTGCTACCAATTTGGGCCCCGTTATAGTGCCCCTACATTACACATTGTCGGCTCACACTTGAATAATAGATCCAATTTTCAAAAATCAAATGGTCCAAATTATCTTGACAAAATTTGAGGCATTGAATATTTAAAGATCAGAGCCTGCCCAATTTTGGTTCACACAAACGCAATTCTCCTGCTGAGTCCCCCTCTCTCCCTCTCTCTCTCTCTCTCTCTCTCTCTCTCATCTGATCGTTTGCGCTTCGCGGACGCGCAGTCTTTCAAGTAAAACTAGCTAGCAGCAGCAGCAGCTTCTTCACAACCTTCTCAGGGTTGGGGATTAATTATCTTGATTCAATCTTTTCTCTTCTTTTTAATCGTCGGAACAAGTGGTGATATTTAGTTTTCCTCCATACACACTCCCATGGAGATTCCCGGGAAGAGGGTCTTGCTCACCTCCAATGGCGATGACATTTCTCTCAACCTCGCCCGCCATTTAGCCCGTCGCGGTTGCCGGTACCAATTTCCTTTTCTATCTCTCCATACCCCTACAATACTACTATCATTTGCTTTTGCTGGGTTCCTGGGGATTGTTTTATTTATTAATAACTCTTACGTATCTATAGTTACATCTATATCTATATCTATATTTTGTTAGGCTGGTTTTGATGGGGAATGAGACCCAACTGAAGCTCGCAGCCCACAAGATTAAATGTTCGCTCCCCGACGCGTCGTCACGCCGGAGGTGGTCGGACTGGATATGGAAGACGATAGTGAAGCCGTTTTCGATGTCGCGGTGGCCAAAGCCTCCACTATTCTCGGTTTCTTCGATGCTTTAGTCCATTGTTATTCTTATGAAGGTACGTTAATTACTTGATTTACTAATCGAGTGGCGCTGCATTTCTTCACTTCTCAGTATTTTTTTCTTTTGTTTCTCTCCTTATCCGGCTTCTGGTCTCTTACCAACTGCCCCTCCGGTCTCTAGCTACGTGATTTACACACATTCTATAGCCTCCACCCCCCGGCCCGCCCCGCGGGGGCCGGCTGTCTGCCTGTGACTCAATGATCAGTGTTTATGCTTTAAAAATTCCTCTCTTTTGTGGGAAGCTTTTGATTCCATTCCTTGCTGTTAACGGATCCATGTTGTGACACGGAGGGATACATAGAAAATCTCCGTGACTGATTATGTTGTCTTAATTGAAAGGTACGACTGCGCTCTAGAAATGGTTATATGAGGTTTTTTAGCAAGCTGACAAGGGCAGGTTAGGTGGATGTACGCAAGGATATCTTTCCCGAATCTCCGTTCTATCGTATCACTAAAATACCCGTTTTTCCTATCTGAGCATTTATTCCCAGAAAGTGCCGCTTGGTATCGTCAAAGTTTGATGTTGTAACTTGGTAGCACTTTCTGCTGTCTGCTCAACCTGGTGAATTCTCTAACCCAAATATTTTTCTTTAAAAAAGTTTCTATACATTCTTTCGCTAGATGATAAAGCTTATTTTAATACCACAAGAGCTGGGAAACAGCTTGTTAATTGGTGGGAAAGAGAGGGGAAAAAAATCAAGTCTTAGTCTTAGTCTAAACCAGGGGGTGGTCAACCTTTTAAGGAATTTACCCTGTCAACCCCCTTTGAAAGGCCAAGCAAACCATAGTATACAATCACATAACCAACGCGGAATTTTCTCGTGTTTTATTGTTTAAAGCCAGCATATTATAAATCTTCAACAAATCTGGCCAGTCAAATCGAATTTGTGAAAAGGATGATTAATAAAGAACAAAAACCTCAGATGCCACCTCATCAGAAGTTGGGGACCGAAAACCTGAAGTATAGATAGATGAAAGATGCACTATGTTTGTATTATCAATTTATGCTACTTGTACTCGCTAGGCCGTGAAAATGTCAGAGCTTTCTGAAATTCAGAGACATCCTTGTGACTTCATAGTTCCTGCTGTTTTTAAGCCTCTGGGTAGCTGGTTTTGTTGGAAATCGTAGCGAGTTATGTTACATCCAGTCTTCATGAAAGCCAAAAGGACACATGATCATAGAACGCTCTGCTCCTTCCCTTCCTCAGATTTTATTTAAGATCGACAGGGAAACTGATGATTTTATCAATAAAGATTAAGTCAGTCGTTGGAGGAATTTCAGCCGTCAGTTTTGAAATATGGGTTCTAATTGCCCTTTGAACCATTAGGTGGCAAAGATAGTTGCTATTTTCTAGCCTTAAAGACATGTAGATATCTGTCAATTTTTTTTTTTTTTGGGACTTACATGGATTGGGCCCACCATCTTCTCATTCAGCATCCGACTAACCATTTCATAATGTTATATGTATTTCTTCATTGTCACCCTGGTGTATAGGTTAAAAACAGTCATGATTAGATCACTTGTACTTAATGGGAAAGTAGGGAATTTTGGATAAGTATATTGTGAAGGCTCCAATAGCAGCAAATTGGCTATATGCTTGTGTGAATACCTAAGTGGCACATGAAGCCTCTTTTCTTTTCTTTTCTTTTTTTTTAATGTGTTTTTGGGTTTAGGGGAACTAAAATTGGTCTCTGGATTGAAGTCAAAGGACTGCATTCTGAAGAAGAACACCAATCCAAGATGAGATGATAATTCTATGGTGGTTCTCATGTAAGACAGAGGCTAAGTTTCCAACTAAACTAGCGTTAACCTCAGAAAGATAGAAGGATGTGATTCTGGGGGGCTGGGGAGCTGGTAAGGAAAGGGGGGGGATGTGGGACCTTTTTCGGGCTTAATTTGAATAAAAATGGAAAAAAAAGAAAAAAGTTACATTTATACTTGTTTTTGACTTAGGCATTGCAACCTATTGAAGTATGCCAGGCACAAATGGAGATCTGTATCAGTCCTATTTACTTTACATGACTATCTTCTTTTTTTGGTTTGTAAATGCATGACTAATTCGATTTCAGGGATATGTAACCACTATGAGTGGGTTGAAGTGTTGAAATCATATTTCGGCTAAATTGTCGCCTAAAGGCCATGTAGACCAAATGAATTTACTCTCTGTTTAGTTGACGAGTACTGCCTTTCAGGTGTTGGTATAACCCTATGTTTTCTTTCATAGAAGAATGACAATTGGCATTTTTCCATGTTCTTTCACTGTATGTTACGTAGTCATCTAATAGTGTTATATTTTGGTGCTGGGATAACGGTATGAGTAACAATGAGGTACTTCTGTCAGCTTTATTGCTACAGAACTCATTTGATCAGTGAAACAACAAAATCCATAAGATATTACTGTATATAGATTGCTTTATTGCTAATTATTCAAGGGCATATTTGTCATAAGATGATGCCGCTTTTATAGCCTAGATGATTCTCTTTGGTTCTTCCTCTTCCCCCAAAGTAAAGATGCCTTAATTTTGGACACGGAAAGGTACAAAAGTTCTTGTAAAGATGATATTTTAGTTGAATGTTCTGTTACTTTGAATCAAATTAAACAGGTGAGATGCAAAATCCTCTGGATATAACCGAAGGGGAATTTAAAAAGACAGTAAAAGTCAATTTCCTAGCTGGCTGGTACTTGTTGAAAGCTGTTGGCAAGCGAATGCGGGATCACAAATCTGGAGGTTCTATTATATTCTTGACTTCAATTGCGGGGGCTGAAAGAGGTCTATATCAAGGAGCTGCTGCATATGGTGCCTGTTTAGCTGGCGTACAGCAGCTAGTGAGGGTAGGCCAAAACTTTGTCTTGATTTTTGCTCTTTCTGAAGGATAGGATGTTTGTTAGTTGCTTTGAATTATACTTGGATTTCATTAGTTAACTTCATGAACTAGTAATTCAGAATCTCGTAACTTCATGAACTACTAGATAAGACTGGATATGTAAAGAAGTTACGAGATTCTGAATTACTAGTTCATGAAGTTACGAGATTTCATTAGTCAAAGGTGCTAATTGTCTTCAAGCATTGCAACTATTAACTCTTCGACGCGACATGAATATGTACCCCTTTCTAAAAATTAAAGGCAAACTGTCGTGCTTTCCAGCTGAGTTTCGTTTTAAGATATCAGTCAACAACTTCATGAACTAGTAATTCAGAATCTCGTAACTTCTTTACATATCCAGTCTTTATATGATATTGCTCAGTGGCCTTTTAAACAGTCAAGGCGAAAAGGCTTTATGGGTCTTCTCAGTAGCTTGTCTCATAGATTAGAACATTAGGACATGTTACTTGAAGATAAATGTACTGATAATGTAGCAAGAAATACCTCTCGGTAGACAGATGAAAAAAGGGGTTGTGATGAAGTAATATTCGATCTAATTATTGTTGCTCTATGAATTTTGTTGTTGCTGACTTGACTAATGACGAGCATGTTTAATTCCTATATGCAGACATCTGCAATGGAGATTGGGAAGTACCAAATCAGGGTAAATGCTATTGCTCGTGGTTTGCACCTTCAAGATGAGTTTCCGGTGTCAGTGGGAAAGGAGAGGGCAGAGAAGTTGGTCAAAGAAGCAGCACCGCTGCACAGATGGCTGGATGTAGAAAATGATTTAGCTTCCTCTGTCATATATTTGATTAGCAACGGCTCACGCTATATGACCGGGACTACCATATTTGTCGATGGTGCACAGTCCCTGGTGAGGCCTCGAATGCGATCTTACATGTGATGTGAATAGGTGAAGAAAACCCAATGTTTGGTATTGGTTTTGTGGTCATGATAGGAATATTGTATCCTATCCATGCGTTACATCTCTTTAAACTCGATTTGACTTGGTTTGAGCTTTAAATTTTGAGGGTGGAGCATGAAGACGATTATATGGAGTTTCGTTCAGAAAGAAAAAATTGCATGAGATGTTGTGATTGCCTACTACTTAAGAAACTCTTTTTTATTTGGGGCTAAATTCCTAATATTAAGAAACTTGGAAACTTTATAGTGCAAAGCAGGAGGCGTAGCATCATCTCCTCATCGTTTCCGGACATTCCTCACAAACACGATGAAATGATCAAGGCAATGGAAATTGTGACAGTCGCAGGCTTGTAGCAAATGCTCATGATTCTTATAGGCAAGTAGCAAGCATAATACGACAACTTGCCCAACTTCATTTCATTTGGTTTTGGATTAATTTTTTATGCATCGATAGTGTAGCGATTATTTTACACTAGCAGTTTTGAATGTATATCATGCGTCCATGATTTCAATTTTCAACTTGAGATTATTAATGTTAAAGAAAAAAAAACAAACTAGGAGGTTTAACCGAGTCCAGAGAAATTGATGGGGACTTACGAATGCATTAGGTACTCGTATGGATTGCATTAAGTACTCGTATGTATGGATTTAGAATAAATTACATATGAAAGGCAAGATTTGATCCATTAATCTCTCAACTTACAAGATTTCTATAGCACCAAGGTTTTACTTTTATTTGGAGGTGTGAAACTTTTGAGAAAGATAGAATGGTCTCGTCTTTTGGGCCAACTAATATTATACTACTGATGTCAGCCCCTTGGGAAAAAGACATTCCCGCCGCCCCGGGCGATTTTAGGGGGCCCTGGTGATGATGATGGTTAAAGAAGCTCCTACAGCCTGCCAAGCAATTCATCAAAATGATTTAAAAGGTCAAACAAACGATGCAGCCTTCAGAGCATCACCATTCCCAACTCCCAAGGCGAACCTGGCTAGAATCTGTAATTGCAGTGGATTACACCCGAATTCTACTGGTTAATAAGTGCGTTTTCCTGGAAGCTTTTTCTTTAAGAGTAGAAATTGGATTTCCTCAACGGCTCATCTTAGGCGATATGCCAATTGGCCAACTGAACTGCAGGAGCATCTAAAGGATCTAGCTAGAAAGTATTGGCAATTGCTCCGTTTGGATTTGCTCTTTCGAGAGAAATACCATGTTGTTAACGTGTGATTTATGTGACATAAATGAGTGGTTAGAAGAAAACGGAAGTGGTTAGGCAATCAGGTTGATGTAGCTAATTAGGTTAAAATGAGGCTGACTTACCAACATTATTCGAAGAATTAGGTGATTTATGAATAATACATTGAGAGTAATTCACTGTGTTGTGAGCGTTTTGATACATAAATATTCTCACACAATTTGTGACTTATTTACACCAAACCAGGGTTATAGTAGTGATACTGCCAATTTCAGCATACTTTATTAACATTTTTTTTTCCTTTTTTGGTGAGTGCGCGAAATTAAGATGCCAGTTTTACCATTTCTTGTTATTGAACTGTACGTAGTTTACACAAGTTGTGAGTTTTAAAAACATAAAAACTTGTTCAAATTTAGCTAAAGCAATAAAGGGCCCCTATAACTTCTTCCGTTGGCCGCCCCTGCTCACACACCTTATTCATTCATACAGTATCCGGAGTGGATGCAAAATATCTTAACCTAACTCCTCATTATTATAGTGTATGTATATATATGTATATGATCATCTCCCTAAAGCTAAAGCCTAAAGGCGGTGGCTGGTGCTTTTGGTCTTCACGTCTTGACCTTTCAAATTGATCCAACATTCAATGTTCCAAGTTTTCTTCTCAATTCCAAACCACCTTCGTGTCCCTTACGACTAAAACTAAAAACAAGAAAGAAAATGAAAAAAAAAAAAAAAAAGAGGACGTGGAAAATTTCCCCTCCTCCCACCCGCAAAGGAAAGGAAAACAGTGGAAGGAAAATAAAACAGGAAGCTGGCTGGAAAAGAGAAGAAGGAAGGGAAAAAAAGAAATAAAGAAAAGAAGAAAAAAGAGGATGGCTGCGGAACTATTTGACCAGAATACGAATAGTCGAGTCATTTTTTTCAAACTTACAATGCACGTGGTCTCTCACTTAGACATATGGGTTTTCCTTTTTTTTTTTTTTTTTTCCAGTTTAAAGCATCTAATTCTAGTACTAGTACTATAATATTAGTATATAAATACACGTACGACTTTCCAATGTGCCGCGGAAGGCGCCCGGCTATTGCAAAAAAGCAGCACAGTGCCGCAGCGCAGAGAGGACAAGGCCTTTTCTGGTTTCCCGGCCAATTATTACGTACCAAATTTTCCAATTCCGAAGAAGAAAAGATTTGAAGCACAATCACCTGACATCCCTGCAGCTTCTTGGAAAAAAAAAACTGTTTTTTGATAGAGAGAGAGAGAGAGAGAAGTGTTAGAATATGATAGTAATTCATGAAATGCCATGCATGTTAATTAAAAAGCTGTTATATAGACTGCCCCAAGTATGCATATGTATAATTTGGGACCATAAATTTATATAGTGTTATTCCGGAACCAGCGCCTGTGGCCTGTGGGAGGTAATGTCGAAACCAGACGAAGAACCAAGCACGTCAGTGTCTACGAACATGCACCGTTTCGGCAACTAGTAATGAGAAGGCATCGCGCAGCACGCATGTTGCTCGATCGATCCCTCTCTCTGTACTAAAAAAAAAAAAAAAAGGAAGAAGAAAGACATCTATTTGTGCTTGTCTGTAAAAAAGAAACAAAAAGTAGAACCTCAATATAGGAAGAAGAGAATTGGAGAAGATGAACTTTAGGAAGAAAAGGACGGTCTTGAGTAAACAGCAGGCGGCGGCGGGGGGAGGACGGGAGTGACACACGGGAAAGTTGTTCCAGAACAGGAACTAATAGATACTAAAAAGAAATTTTACGTTAATTCCCAAAAATTTTAGTATTTATGTTTTATCCGTGGATGTTTTGCATAAATATGAAAGCTCTTATAAACATTTTATTATTTGAATTTGAATTTGAAGCCTTCATTTCCATATTTCTTCAAATATGTCTCAATAACTAATTGGTTTTAGAGTGACCACCAATTTTGTATTTTCAAATTTTACAAATATGAAATTGGCGTTAATTTAGAAAGATTATAAATTATACGATATTTAAAAGAATTGGATAGACAAAAGGGATATATTCATCATGTTAGTATAGATTTACATAATACTTTGTACGTTAACTAATTAAATTTTCTTTTAATACATTTTTTACATCACGTTAGCATCACCCAATTTCTTAACTCCCCCGTTTGAGCAATTGTACCTTTTAATCCTTAACTCCTAAGTTTCGCCAATTTGACTCGACTCGTCTCGCCTTGCCTCGCCTCCCTATTTGAGTTTAAGAATAGAGATAATTTTGCGTAGAGCATCACGAGAATTAAATAAATAACCAAATAAATAAAATAGCAGACCCATGATGCAGAAGTTTTTTTTTTTGTCGACACAGGGTGTCTGGATCAATCCTTACGGGGCCCGACTAATCCCCTGCGGTCCGGACCCGGCGTCCCAACCCGACCCGAACACGATAAGTGCGCGGAGGAATCCAGCAGAGCGGAGACTCGAACTTGGGATCTCAAGGGTCACCAGTGAAAGGCGCTACCGCTGGACCATGATGCAGAAGTCTATCGTCGTCTTTTTCATGAATGGTGAAAGTAGATGAATCGAGTTTTGATTGCACCGTTGTCTTTTAGCATACTTGGGTCATCAAATTTGATTCGTGAATCTTTTGCTTTGGGACAAATGAAATAAACGATGATTTTGGCTGAAATCCATCTTGTTCTTGCTTCGGCTATAAATGATTATCTTTTAGTTTTGATCTCCAAAGTTTAATATAGGAGAGATTTTAATCTCTAAAATTTGGACTAACGTAAATATTGTTCCTAATGTTTCAAATTTGAAGCACATTCATCGATTTTTTTTTCCCAATTCTTATTGGAATGGAGTTGCATGTAGTCACATAACCCTTGCCTGAAATTTATTATTAAAAAAATTTAATTATGATACTGAAAATTAATTACTTGCATAACCACATGCATGTAATTAAAAGGAAACGCAGGACCAAAATTTCTGACAAGGGTTAAGTGACTCTGTCCCGATACCATGGCCCTAACTATGCTTCAAACAACAAACGTCTAGGAACCCGATTTTCTTTGACCCAAACTTTGGGGACTAAAATAACTCTTGTGACTCAAACTAAACTACGAACATCTAGTTTAAAGACCAAAATTGCATTTTTTTTTCCTAAAATTAATAATATTAACTTGATAAATCTTTTATGTTACATTAGCCAGCCGTTCTAGATGCATGTCACATACGCAAAGTTTGAGATTCAAATTCAAATTAAGATGTCGTGGAATATATTGACAGCGTAGAAAAGATTCATCAACGTTAAATAACTAGTAATCTAACCCAAAACCAAAAACTAGCTAAAAGCAAAACTTCTAATTTGATTGTGGCATCATCAAAAAATTTCCAACACAAACGACAATTTTTTTAAAAATGTAATTAGCCTAAGGGAGGACGTTTTATTACAAAAACCTACTAAATAAACTGAGTACTACCAACTAATCCAAAAAGGTTGAAAATAACCAACACAACTAGTAGTAGTAGTTAGTTTTGCAAAAAAAAAAAAAAAAAAACCAATAGGAGTAGTTATGCTCGAATAACATGACATGGTCAATATTTTTGTTCTTTTTTTTTCCTTATTGTAACGTCAAGATAAAAAAGGTGACGAACTTATTACCGCTCGAACTCACACTCGCTTTTCTTTTCCCATCAGTTTCATTCTGCTTTTATTAAATTAAACGACAATACTTGTGACAAAAGTCTTTAAGTATAATCATGTAGCCGCCACAAATTTCCACCTTAATTCCCCGAATTCATCTTGACTACACCAATCAGTCTCGATGACTGTATTAAGCTAATTGCTTTGTAGACTTATTTTATTTTTCAATGCATCTAAATCAGTCGATGAAACTTCTTTCCAATTAGTCACCCAAAGAACACCTGACTTTTCTTCCACGACAAACTCGCAATCCTATTCCTCTGTGCGTGTATATATTCTCTATCTGCATCTTCCACAATGTCTCGTCTCAGTCTGTTTCATACCTTAAAAAAAGAAAAAAAAGGAATGGTGCACTCGGCTTCCTTCCTCAACAGTGCAAGCCAGTACTACTGATTAGTTAGCCGGCTATCGGACCACGATATACCTTCTAAGTTCCCAGTTTGATAAATTAAGATCAGCCAACAAACGCAGATTCATGGACCACCAACACCATCATCAAGGAATGCATTTTCTGGGTTCACTGGTGCAGACGCCGGCTTTGTCATCTATCTCACCAAATAATGAAATACTAGCATCAAGTGGTTATCGTCTCAACATTGGTGATGCTTGTAGCAGCAGGGAAAATGGATTTCCAGGGCTGAAGGCGCAAATCAAGGGCCCAACGGCACAAGTCAAAGACATATTTGAAAGTAGAACAACTACTGTAGCAGCTGCAGCAAATGAAGTAAAATCCGGTACTGGGAGTAAAAGAAAGGGCGATCAGAAGAAAACTAGGAAGCCCAGATTCGCTTTCCAGACTAGAAGCCAGGTTGATATACTTGACGACGGGTATCGGTGGAGAAAGTATGGTCAAAAGGGAGTTAAGAACAACAAGTTTCCAAGGTAGAAAGAAAACACACACACACACACACACATATGTGGTATCTTAAAAATATTCATTTTCAAAGTCGTCTTCATTGATAGCTAGCTGATCATCTGTGTATCTGAAATTACTCAATATTCAGTGTTGCTTTTCTGAAAATCACTACCTAGTGTGTGTATATATACGTAGAGGACGACTAGTACTGTTAGCAACCTTTAACAATGGCCAAATAGGAAGTTGGAAATGGTTTAACATATATATAGGGTTTGATGTTTTATAATTGACGTCAGGGTTATCATGGATGATATTGTGACACCACTGCTCCACCATGTGCAAATATATACCTGTGTTGTAAATCTTTTGGAGTAAAGACCTATTAAAACATCAAACACTATACATATATATCAATGAAAATTAAAAACTCTGTAATTATGCAGTCCCTAGCAGGATCATCAAGCATCTCCACCAGTTTATTAACTACTTTTCAAACAAAACGAGTCCTATGTTTTGTGCTTACTTTCCAAGGCCGTCCAATTCAGATATTAGTACAGTTGATAGAACTATTCTATTTATACAACCAAACCGGGAAAAAAGAAAGAGAGAGAGAGATCATAACTTGTTCATTTTTGTTGGTGGAAAAACTATTAAAAAGCGATGTTTAGTGATTGCTAGCGTAAGCAAAAGGCTGGACAATTCAATTCCTGGAGAATGCGTTGCTGCAGTAACTCCTTAGGGTTCTGTGGCAGCGAGGAGTTTGTAATGTAACAATCGGTCGGTGTTAGGCCGGCCGGTTTAAACAAGGATTTTATTTCATCTCTTGGAGGAGCAGGAGCAGGAGTTATACAGCATCCTCTAAATTGTTAATTATGATATTGGTTCATTAATCTCTCACTCATTTAGCTAGTTTGAGGCTTGCGTTTATTAGACAGATTAAATGACGTTTAACAGGAGTATTATTACGTATCTTATTTGTTTATATATATATGTTGCCACTATATATATATATATTGCATCAAATTAAGTGGCAACTGTAAATTCTTTTTTTTTTTTTTTTGGGTTATTGCAGAAGCTATTACCGATGTACGCATCCTGGGTGCAATGTGAAGAAGCAAGTGCAACGACTGTCCGTAGACGAAGGCATTGTGGTAACTACTTACGAAGGAATGCACATTCATCCTACAGAAAAAAACAATGACAATTTTGAACAAATTCTCAACCAGATGCATATTTATCCTCCCCTCTTGATGTGAAGCTCATAATTAGTATAATGAGTTACTCAATTCCTTTTCTCTAAGAATTTGTAGCTTCATTGTAGCTAGGTGGGGAGCTATACTGTGTATGCATATTACTTGTATTTGTAGCTTTAAAGCATAGCTTGCTAGAACTAGAAACTATACATGGAGTTCAGTAGATGCATGGGTGATGTAGCAAAATCTGCACTGAATTTGTTTAAAAATAATAGATTTCGGGATTTAGCATTAAATCTTTATTTCTTTTCCATCTTTTGAGTTAATGTCCCAACATTTATATTTTTTTTTTATTAGCGGTAACATTTAATCTACTTTTACACCAAGCTACACTGTGAAGAAGGAAGGAGCCTAAAGAAGCACATATGAGAGTTGAGGGGTGAACAATCAAATCAAACAAATGTACTAATGCAGATTTGTGAGAACGAGGAAGCACAATACTTCCTTGTAATATTCCAACATTTTAATTGATGCTGCGTAAAAGGCAATAATCCCCCTAGTCAACATGTCACGAGCAAGAGACCACAAAATGCAGGAATGTTGTCCTGTGCAAGCCGCCGAAGCAGGAAGATATCACAAAACCATCATATGATTCAAACTAATCATTCTTTCCCCCCGAAACGATGGTTGTTTTATAGATATATCAAAAACTGTACGGTATATAAGGACTATGCTCCCAGTTTTACTGAAGGTGCAAATTAGCACAATGGATTGACATAGATCCATATTCCCTATCACAAAAGTTGTCTAGAGCAATTCTGCTCAGACTCATACAAAGACTATTTGTCTCGTGTCTTGAAAATCCAAAGGAGCACATTTGATTCGAACTAATCAAGAGAGTAAAGCAAAGGACGTTTCTATTTATTTTTCTTTTAAATTGCAAATACCCGAACTCGTGTAGTGGAGGGTACCATTTGTATTGTGATCCCCTTTATTTGAAGGGAAAGACTGAAAGATCTTAAGAGATTGGAATATGATAAATACTTTTACTAATTTGATAATCTTTATTCGACGTTTGACTATTTAATTGACTCACATGTATTTGTGTGTGTTTTTTTTTTGACCATCCAAATTCTAGAACTCTAATAAAGAAGTATAACTATCGAATAATATGGAACAACTATTGATGATTTCTTCAAGAAACATAAAAGGTATTAAAAAAAAAGAGAAAATATTTCTCTCATTTCTAATTTTCATTATGATGGGGGTCAAGAATTGGACTAATCGATTAATTTGGACGGAATGTGTAGAATGTAACGTTTGTGAAAGGTTCGATGATGACTAATTTGAGATGCGAAAAGGTTGGTTGACCAGAATGAACGAATTTGGAGTATGGATAGTAATCGTCCCTAAACAAGTTAATAGTTAAGATTGGCTATATATATATGTGTATGTATAATGTTCAAATCACATTATATACTTCATTTTCAATGTCACGTGCAGAGTTTATAAAAAATTTGATCTATATTTACTTTGCATTGAAGGGATTTACATCCTGGGGAAATGAATGTGCATTTTGTTGAATTGGGCAAAACTGTTTCGAGACGGGTGTTGTGGCAACTATCCTAGCCCCTTCCCTTTGTGACATACAATTCTGCAACAATTTTCACACATTAATTGTCTTTTATTTTTTTCCTTTTCCAACATGATAATTATCTGAAGTCGCCCCCGGGGTGGTGGGGGGGGGGGTTGGGAGAAGGATTTTTCTTGGAACAGAGAATTTGCAATTTAAATGCTCTGGGTCCCTTCAAATAAAGGTCAACCCAAGGTCCAAGGCCCAACTTCTACCTTCACGGGCTCCCGTCGCCGTTAACAGCGTTCGTTTTGGCAAATGAAGACGGCAGAGAATGACAAATACGTCTCTCAAAATTTCATGGACTCACGGGAAGCATTGAGTTGAGTGTCGAGGCCTCCAGGGTTTTTTGTGTTGAATGGGATAACGTATATTCATGGCAAAATTAATATATGCTTCAATTCAATTTGGTCGAGGTCACTTGCACCTACCTAGTTGCTATCACGATAGTAGTTGTTCGCAAATACTTTAAACTAATGTCATGACTAAACCATTTGCTTAATCTCTCAAAAGTTGATTGATGTTGTTCTCTTCACCATACGCCGTATTTTTAGATACATTCACCCAACTAGGAGTAACGAACAGCCATATATCGTATACGTGTGTGCTTCTAGTAATTGAAAATATGATCATCTTAAGTTTTTTGCTTCTATTCCATGCTTCCATAAATAAACACACAAAATAAAAAGCTTAGGTAGTCTTAAGTTTTGGATTGCTGAGTTTTTCAAATACTACTAAAATTTTTAAAAAGTACTCTAAAAGGTACTCTAAAAAGTAGTCTAAATTTTTTTTTAATGTTTAAAAAATATCCCAAAATATATTCTAAAAACTTTTCTACTCTTAAATATCCTAAAATATTTTCTAAAAAAATCCCAAAATATACTATAAAAACTCTGCTATAGTAAAATTTTTCAAAAATATCCTCAAAAACAGCTAATCCAAACGGACCCAATTCAAATATCATCATTTATCCCGTGAATTACGTAAAATTCTGCCTACAAAATTTAAACTTTCAGAGACAATTAGACACACTTTAAACTAAAGGGGTAGACTTAGTACAAAATTCAAATATCATCACTTACCCCCGCTAAATTATGCAAAATTTAAGGCCTTGTTTGGATTGCATTTTTCTGAATTTTTTTGTAGAAAAATTATTGTAGCGATTTGATATATGTGAGGTAAAAAGGTGATTGAAAAATGTGCTCACAGAAAACGTAATAATTAGAGACAATTAGACAGACACTAATTTGAAAAATTAGAGAAAATTTGAAAAATTGCTGTCCAAACAAGGCTTTTTAGAAACAATTAGACAGACACTAAACTCACTTCACTTCTTATTGTGTGTCCTTAGAACGCAAAATAGAATAACCCATCATCTTATTACAATACTTTAAGTTCCACACTGATCGCCTACGGTAATCTCTCTAGCAATTGTTTGTGAATTCAAGAACACACATGATGGAAACGTTATGGCTCCTTTTGGATTGGCTGTTACATCAAAGTTTCATCTTTTTAGTCAAAACATAAATGAATTCCGTGCAATGTACTTCTCTCTCTCTCTCTCTCTAAGATTTCGATGGAGGAATACTAGGGCGATGAAGTTAGTTACAGGGGAGTAGATTACATACACACAACTGCGATTGGAAATTCCTCATCTTTTGTTGATGGATAAAATTCCTACTAAGCAATTGGACAACTAATGGGTATCTGTAGTAGTATTATTGTACGTGGTTCTAAAGACCTTAAGCGTCATGTCTTGTCGATGAAGGAAGAAGTGGAACCAGAGTTTCTTGAGGTAAAAGCCGCTTACACGGCTTGAGAAAATTGAACTTTTATTTTGGCCAACAACATGTTATATTCTTGATTGATTAGAGCAGTCCAAAAGCAGAACACGAGTTGTGGTTGGTCCTGGTTAATTGTTGAATAAGGTGCAAGCCTAGGCCCTAGGATGGAGGTAAGATGCTGCCGAAACGTAGCCGGAAATGGTCAGGAAACCAACAAACAAAGCCAAGCGTCCTCTTGAATTGGAACAAAGTGCAAGGCCCGATACTTTTTAGGAGTTGCATCATGAAATATGTAGGAAATTAAACCAAACTATTTTAGTATTAGTTTTCTAATTCTTTTTAGTGTCTTGTTTGTCTAGTTTTCATATTAGATTAGGAAATCTCAATCAATTTCCAAGTAAGTTTTGGTTTACAACTGTATTTGTTTTGAAAAATTTTGGAGTCTATAAATACTAATAGTCTAGTAAGTTATTATTTGAAGAGTTGAGTTGAGTTTTAAGAGTATTTAAGAGAAAATCTCATAATTATGATTTGTGAGTTATCGTGAGCGAAAAGCTACCACTTGATGTTTGTTATTGTTGAATTTTGAGTTAATTAAATTATTGAGTATTTGTTCTCCTCCTCTTCTCACATATTTTTATATGTGTTAGAATTGCTTCTGCCGAATGCATAATTATTTATACCAACAAGTGGTATCAGAGCTCTAGACTTTAATCCTGAGGTTTGTTCGTGAAATTAAATTATGGATCCGTATTATTTACCATGTTGTGGTGTTTTTATGTTTGATGGTAAAAACGATTTTGAGATTTAGAAGAGGAGGATGGAGAATTTTTTCAAAACTGTTGGAATTTGGGATATTGTTGAGAAAGGGTTCATGGAACATGTACGAGCCACAAAATTATTAGTTGATGCAATTAAAGAGTTGGAAAGGAATACACAGTTGGATTGTAAGGCATTCCACTATCTCAACACTCAAGTCTAGTTACATGTATTGAAAAAATTCATACATGCAAAAATAACAAATGAGGCTTGGAAAATTTTGATGAATTCTTATTGTGGTCACGATGAAGAAGAAATTTGTGATGAAAAAGAAGAAAAAAATATTTTGATAAGTCAAAAAAAAAAGAAGAAATTGCAGAAATTGTGAGTGCACATGAAGATGAAGAATTTATGACTCAAAAAGGAATTTCGCAAGTGGTTGAGAAAGAAGACGAAAATAGTAGTGAAATTACTGATGTGATTGAATATTGTAACGATGTAGAAATTGTTCATTTTGTCAAGACTGATGAATTTTTCGAAGAGAAAAATCAAGTGATGGACTTGGTTGAAATCAATTGTGAGGTGGACAAATTAATTGAAGGTTGTGGTACTGCTAAAGTTGATGCAATTGTTAGTGTTGAAAAACTAAAGGAAAAGTGTAGTGATGTTGAATACCTCATTGGTAAAAATTATGATTTTCTGATATTTGAAACTATTGGTGATATGGATGAATTGAATTGTGGAGTATCTAATGAAAAATTCGTGGATATATTTGAATTTTTTGACAAGAGTGATCAAGTTAAGAAATTATTCGAAAAGTATAAATTTCGTCCACTGCTGCCGCGCGTGAAAATGAAATTGGAGATTTATTGGAAGTTGGTGTTGAATGTTGTTTATACTGCGACTGAATTTTTCATGGAGATTCAAGCTCATGATGGCATGGCAACATCAAGAGTTTGGTTTAACGGAGGCAATGTAGGAAATTAAACCAAGTTATTTTAGTATTAGTTTCCTAATTCTTTTGGTGTCTTGTTTGTCTAGTTTTCAAATTATATTAGGAAATCTCAATCAGTTTCCAAGTAAGTTTTGGTTTACAACTATATTTGTTTTAGAAAATTTTGGAGTCTATAAATAC